TCTGTCAATTATTTACAGTAGGTATCGAGTGTACTACGTCATTGGATAGGTTACTGACTACTGTTATGGAACGTGATAAATTATTTATTCAATGATGAATCATTGTAAAATTCGATGAAAAACGATTTCAAGCATAAGCATAACCTAAAGTTACGAAGCAATTACTTTAATAATAATATTACAATTTTTTCTGATTATTTTAAAATGTACTGAGAATTTTCTATTTTATCTTATTAAAGCTACCGACTAGATCCAATCATCTGCCAAAAACCCYATCTCAAAAATGATAATCTGAGCAATATTTCCTAAAAATTGTCTGTCTTAAGAGTTTAGACTCAAAGATATGTGTGATATGGTGTGCACCACTGCACATATTATGGCCCAAGTATAGCAACATGCGTATATGCACTGTATAATAAGCATTATGATATCTACAATTTAAAGACGAGTTATTCATTACGGAAATATACACGGTGTAATAATATATAATTTATTTTGTAGAAATAATTATCATCCTTATGCTTATGTTTGAAAATTAAAATATTTGCACATATTATGTATACTCAMAAAATGATTATATTTTCATCGAAAAAAAAATAAATACAATGTCGTGGCCATTGTAATATTAAAATATAATTATTATTCCCATATTACATTATATTATTTGAGTTATAAAGGTACAATAATAACATGAGGTCATCATAACGATAACATAATATAATAATAAAAAAATAATAATGAATATAATAATGATATTTTAATATTATAACATATCGGACAATACTCTCTAGAGACAATACCTAATACTCTGCTCTAATACGTGATGAGTATCCASTAAAGATTTGTCAATTACTTAAAATAGCAATAAAATTATATCTAAATATACATACTATTGYACTGACCGCTTTATATTATAATATTAGGTAAATTAGGTACTAATGTGGAAATTAATAAATTGAATTGTTAATGTTCATGAAAATCATACGTATCGATTATTCAGTTTCCTATAAAGGTGAAAACCATTYGTAGTGGTCAATGCATAATTAGGTCAAGACGTGTTTGATCTCGTCAGGTTGGTTTAAGTTTATCATCAACAATTCACGTTCATCAAGCAAAATAATATGTTTAATATTGTGGTTTATATAGTTAGAASTGTTAGAAGCATTCCATTAGCGTATAAATGGTGTTCCGTGCAAAATGTTTCTAGTACTCTATAGTAATATTACTGTTATTACTATTTAATAACCACATTAAAAACGCCCTACATATATATTATTATGGTATAATGTTCGTCGTCCAAAAATTAAATGAATAAAAATTGAACAATACATTCTGAGTATAAAACAAAAAGTTGATTTGATTTKATTTTTATGAAAACAATTCGAATAGTGTTTTATTTGAAAAAATTATTGCCAGTATCATTGATTTACTTAATTATTGTTTTTAGGTTTTTGAATTCTAAACGTTCATCTGCATACTATGCATAGTCTATAGGTGACACAAAAACACAAAAGGTTGTATTTAGTAAATATGTCCATCGTTTATTATATTATTGTAATATACGTTAGTTGCTCATGCATACAAAATAAGAGTGCATCGAAAATTGCGTTTTAGTGATYGCAATACCGGAATGTTATCGCGTACACATTCAAACAAATAACGATACTTTTAATCCGATTGAAACATAACTCGGAAAGTTTAAGAGCAGACCAATTCGATATTCGTACAAGTATACGATTTGTAGATACATACTCCAAATAATGTTTTACCGACACGATATAATTATGTTTGGTTTCGTACTTAATCGCAGCATCTTTCAAAATCTCACGAATGGAATCAACAGAATATAATGTATTATAATGTAATATTTATGTACATTGACCGGAGACTCGTAAAATCCGAAATTTAATTAATGTACTTATACCTTCATCGGCTGCGCCTAAGACGTAAGTACTTACCACATAATATTAATTAATATGTCCGTCTAATCGTTTACACGCAGTGTACCTATTATTTATTTCAAGATTTTCAAACAATCATTGGCACCATCTTATATAAATTAATAAATTATTAAATTCGTATCTCAAATTAATTATTTATAATTTTTTTTATTCCTCGTATTTAATCTGAAAAATATTATTAATCTTGATTATAGTTTTTATTATGTATGTGTCATTCTGTACCTATGTGTATAATAATATAATAATAATTATTATTATTATTTTTATTATTAAATACCTTAAGTGCTACATATTTTACTGGATGGTTTTTTAATGCAAGGTTGTTTGGATTATATTTCAACTACTATGTTTATATATTATAATATATAAACTATAACCTTTTAATATTCCAGTATAACTCAATTCAATTAACCRTTTAAAATACTTGTTTATGTTACACCAGAAACGCCTCATACACGTATGCTGCGATATTTTAACTTAATAATTGCTCTAACGAATGTTTGTTTTTATTTTTCAGTCAGTTCAAATAAACCCTAAACGGTCCACGGATTACAAAATGTGATTTTTAGAATCGCTGGAAAATATATTTATCTGTTTGTGTGACTTTTAACGGATTGCTCGTTCATTGATTTAATGCTAAATTTATTCCATTTGCATTCTCTGTCCGTGAATTATACGATAAAAAATTACTGTTCGTTCTTAAGTACCTATTACCAATGGCTGCATCCTAGTTGGATCCCAAATTATTTTAGGGACTATTACACTAGTTGGGTATCAAATATTTATTGGTGAGTACTGCACAATACTAACGTATTCCTTTAGTAAATAGTATAGAATACTGTACAGTTAGTAAAGAATATTATGAAATTAAACATATAGGTTACATTAGCTTATCCCGCTTTATATGTTMGTATAGTCTATATACCAAAACATTGTTTTATTTTAGTTCTAAACGTTTACTACAACTGTATTTATTGAATATGATATGGGGTTCGTTCCTAGACTGCACGATTGTATATATTACCGATAACCTACTAAAATATCATCAGAAAATCCTATTTATAATTTACGAGTAGTATACATTTTTAATTCTTTTGACTCTCATTTATATAGTTCAAGTATATTTCTGATCTTTATCGTAAAATTAATTTACCTTCACAAAATGTAAATTATATGTATAGGCTTATTGTACCAAAATTATATTATTTTTTAAATAGTCTCAGGCTCTATTAGGCTCATTGTATTATTGTATAAAGAAGTGTAAGTTGAAAGGTACTGTCACTCAAAAAACTAAGCAATTTAAAATTTTTTTAAAAAAATATGGATTTTTGTCGATCATATTGTGTAAGAAAATTGCTATCAAAAACGTTAATTTTTTTTCGCAATTAGTGTTTACTTAAGCCAACCTATACACGTATTTTAATACATATTATTATTATTATTTATAAATGTGTAATGAATATTTAAGCCAATATAATATTATACTTATRTACAGTATTCTGGCCAATTAATATATGTATGGTGTGGTCTTTAAAAACACACTCCATCAATATTGAAGTACAGTATACTCAAATTTAGAATAAAAATAAAACACAAATTCCACCAATATTATGATGGTGTCGCCGTGGTATAGGTATTATACTATTATTATTATATGTGTTTGTGAACTGTAGTTAGAACTGTAGTGGTTCTACGACCCATCGACSGTATACAACAGAGAGCCAAACTCGTAATCCATATATTACATGTTCATTAATATATATAAATCTTATAGTAAATCAGGATTAGTGCTTAGGTCGGTTGGTGGCCTGACCATGACACATTCGGGTAGTTCGATTATATCGTATCTAAAAGGCTACGAAAATATAAAATAGTTATTAAGTTATGAGGTCGTAAAGATAAACGGTATAAAGATATAATAGTCAGTGAGGTGTCTTATAGGTACACACAATACCACGGTCTATGTTGTAAATAATATTATGTTATAGTCATTATTCATGATATAATAATTTTTACTACTATATGGTCATTGGTCGTTGTCGAAATCGCTATATTATCTACGTATATATTTCATCAATAAAATTCGAATGTTGACACGTTTGCGCATGCGATGTGTTTTTTTTGTGTTTAGTCTTTATACAGACAGATCGTAATGTTATAACAATACCGTATCCACGATGGAGAGTGATATTAGTATGTTTTCGAATTCGAACAGATATCAATAAGATTATGTAGGTAATTAGCAAATAATATGTTTATCGTGTTTTCGTACCTCTGTTATGCCGCGGTGACTAACACTCGGCGACTTCTGTGATTTAAAATAGTTTTTCCATTTTAGTTTACGTAGTATGTATATTATTATACTCACATTTTACGATCATTCTATTTGATCTTAATAACGGTGTCGTAATAAGCGACCGTTTTGGCAATAACATCACACATGAACACATATATGCGGCAATTATGCGCTATATTATTATGTGTTGGTATACAATACAAATAATATGATAATATTTTTTCCGTTTTCGGTCGATCGTTGCAACTCTCTTGGCGCAAACCACTGCAGTTTGTAAACTTATTACTTTAGTGGGGTGAAAATTCAGAAGAAAAACGCAATTTAACAGGATGGCGACGGAATCGATCCGTCTTTCGTGTGTGTATTTAGTAATTCAATAAAATGTGATCGAAACGCTTAGCGTGTTWTATCGTGTAGGTGTAGTCGTTAAATGTGTGCATGATGTTGTTGTTATTATTATAGACCGCACTGCCACTACCACACTGCTATAATACGTCTCTTGAAATGATAACGAAAACACTTACCTGTCTTAACAATAATAYGATTATTAAAGCGATAACAACAATAATAATAATAATTATTATTGTTAAATGAGTGCTTGTGAGACCGCGTGACCCTATAGTCATGGGGAGGTGCACCGCGTGGACAAGTGCCGCCGCCGACGCCGCCACCACCACCACCAATGATGATGCCGCGTCGTCGGCTTTTTCTCAGTCGCCGTTCGCCATTCCTGCGGGACGGTTACAATAATTCGCACGCCGTCGTAACTCGTCAGCCGTGTCCGTATTATCGTCGTATGTATATTCGTATATTGTTTTGTAAAAATACGATATAATTGCGTGGACGATACACCCTAAGACGAACATAATAAAATATTAACACAATATATTATACTATTATCTACGCTGAATCGTTGTATGGYATTGGACAACGAATACAGAAAAAAAATACTCTATACCTATTGCCATAATAATATTATCAGCTGCGTGTAACGGTCGAAACCGCGCGGTCCAGTTAAAGTTTGTTCTCCTCCCCSGGACGCGTTGAGGGARAGTGAGCGTTCGAAACCGCGAGACATTTTAATTTAAAAACAATATGCACTTTGCTCCGAAATAGTATATTCAATCGGTTTTACCACAATAGTATGAACTTGCAGGTCCATAATTCGGAGTATCTACTGAAACGCTGGTAAGTTGGGTTATAATTTTGGTCTGTCTTTACGTGAAAACCCGCTTATATTAACGATGGCGGGTATATTTTTTATTTTTTTTATTCAGTAAACGACGCGTAGGCATCTGCTTGGGGGGGAGGTGCCGAGGGGCGATGCCCCTCAGCTATTTTGTTATAACTGATCATTTTATCACTTGTAAAAAAAAATTATAAGTGCTGAGATGATTTGATTATATTTTGTATTTCTATCAGAAATTTTTGACTCACCCCCACCCCCTCCCCCACTGGTTGATATTTCTGTGAGTGCCCTTGAAGTRATGTAACATATCATAGATATAATAATATTAAATATTATAATGATTAATTAGAGAATTTGAATCGTGTGAATTTAATGTTAATTGTCATTTAACCTTTAAATACATATATAGATGGTCAAAGAGCTTCTTAGTTGTAATAGAGCATTATTTTCTCGGTAATTTTTTGATTTTGAAACGTTTAAGTGCAACCTTGACCGTTTGATTTGTATCGTAGTACATTTTTAATAACACAGTGGCTTAAAAATATGATATAACGTTCGCCATTATATTATAAATGTACCAGGTACGAATGCCACGACAAACAACCAGTTAAAAGACATTTAATAAAATTACGTTAAACTRTCCATTTAAGTGTTTGTCATAGATAGTTTATTCTTTATTGTATACGTGTTTTAGACAAGGCGCCATTCATAGTATATAATAAACTCAGAGTATATAAGAGATTACGAGTATTATTTTTTTTATCTGAAATACTAAATGACCAAGAAATCAATCTTTTGAAAGTTAAGCATTATTTTATAATTGCTTCAAAACTGTACTTAAGTAACACATTAAAGTACAACAATTTAACATCTATTCAAAAATAATAAACGTACCTACATTATAAGAAATAAACGCTTTTTAAGAAATAAAAGTTAGTGAGATGAACAAATTTGATAATTTTAGGTAAGTGTACGCTATGTTGTTTAATATGTGAAATCCAAGCTGCAAAAGTTAAACATTAAAGTTTTACATTGATTATTATTCTTAATCCATTATGTTCTTTCGTTATAGTTATCTTATTACAAGTATAATAAAATTAAACAATAATATWGGTATTATCTTGTGTATACCACTACATAGTATACATAATACATACACCTTTGGTATATTACTACATTTTAATCTAGAAATTGAATTCTCATAAAATCTCGAATGTCAAAGTGACTGTCTCATTTTTGGTGTTAGCTCTTCTTGTATCAAGTAGGTACTAATAAGCAATTATTATCTACCTACAATTATTGTATATTTACTGTACATTCACTTGTATAATTTCGCGTATCACGATGTACTTATATATGTAATATGTAGTTCTTTTCTTTTCTTTTTATCATATCTATGAATTACACTTTCAAGTAATTAATATATTTAAATTGTTGATTGCTAAACTACATAAAGATGAATATTAATAATGTAAACGTTTTAAGTTGATAGTAATAACCGATAAACATCATACTTTGATGAATAATATGTTTATTTATCATTTGTCTAAGGTACCTACAGTGTTTATTTATTTATTTTTATTTTTGTTATTGAGTCCGTAATTAAT